ATGTGAAGAGTCAAGCGGGAATCCCTGGAGACCGTTTGCGAAGCCCGGATCCGCAACGTCGCCAATGGGAGAGTGAGAGCGCGTGGCTGCTTCTTGTGATGTTTCTTGGACTGCTTCGACTGGCGACCAGTTGGTCTCGACGAGGCACGACGCTTGCGGTGCTGGTGTTTCCCCGAAGCCGACGGAAGGTATCGCTCCATCATCAGAATCAAATGATAAATGCGGCGATAAATCGGCGGCGAAGATCCATCACTCATCTCATCGTCGGAGCCGAAGATTTCTGCATGAAGGTTTCTCTTCTTGGTAGAAGGATGAACATCCTCTTCCACCAAGTCAGAACCTGAAAGGTTACCCGCGTAGTTCTCCGACAGAGAAATGGAATCCGAGAGCGACCCAGATGCAAGACTCGCCGAGCCGACGGACGGTGCAGAACCATGACCAGCTCGTCGTCAGAAGCGTCAAGGTCTTCGAGCAGCTGTGCGGTCACAGTGCGGGCAGTCGCAGCAGACCTCCGGATGGAACGCCCAGAAGGTGACGTCAGCGTGGCCGAGCTCGCAGGGAGAGACGGTCTGGGAACACTCGCAGCCGAAGTCACAAGGTCAGTCGGTGTGGTAGACACACTAATACCTCGAGACGGAGCGACCTCAGCTGAGATGTGAGGTGATCGAGAACTAGACGACAACCGGGAGTGCACAGTTTCCGTTGACGCGACGCTTGGAAGAGCGCTCGACTGGGGGCAACTCGGCTGCGCTAGGAGACTTCGAGACATGCGTGCAAGCCATCGCAACCGTGACAGGTCGAACAGCCAATCCACCTGAGGTCGGACTCGGCGCTCAGGTCACCGCGGACTGTGGAGATCCGGAAGAAGGTAGACCAGAACTCAACGGCAGTGAAGCCATGACATTGGAAGAGGCCACCGACGATGGTTGAGTAGTCGTGACTGACGACGTCAACAGATGACCAGAAGGTGGAGGCCCCGAGAGAGTCGACGAACCAGACGCAGGAACCGTGTCGTCGGCAGGCATAGACATGTCAAACTCGTACTCGGCTTCGCTCGAAGCTTTATCCTCGGATATCGAGCGAGTGAAGACGGCTGGCTGTGTAGGAGAGCTCAACAGAAGGTGACGAACCTTCTTCCGCCAAGTCCGGCGTCGAGACTTACCGAAGCGGGATCTCTCTCTGTCGGACACGGTCTCCTGAGGAGAACATGAGCGCAAGAGAGCACTGGCGGCGTCGTGTCCCTCTTTCCCTGGAAGTGGACAGGCGTACGGCTGAGGCGGAGGCAGCGTCAGCGAACGGTGACGAGGGCCAGCAGCAGTGGGAGACTTCGGGTTTGCATAACGCCGAAGCCGTTGCGTAGGTGTCAAGTCGGCTAACGAAGCACGACGAAGCTGAGCGAGAGTCGGCATGGGTTGACTCACAGCTGTCGCTGGGCTCGCAAGAACCGCAGTCGAGTTCACCGAAGGTGTCATAGAAGAAGCCGGAACCTCTAAAGATGCGGAGCTCTGTGTTGAACACTGGGAGCAACAGCCGTCCCAGCAGCAGAAACCGTAAGCACTGCGGGGGCGTTCCGATGAGGGTGGATAATCAACTCAAGTTGTCGGGACGCGCCAGCAGGGATGCTGAGAGCTTCGGGGAAGCGAGACTCCAAGATGCGACACAACCGGGCGTTCAGACGAAGGTCGGACGGATCGAGTCCTGGAACATCTAACCCGGCGCCAGCAGCAGCCATGTGAGGATCATGCATCGGAAGAGTACCGTTTCGCCGGATGATCCGCTTCTGTCGCAAAATTACTGCCCGCTGGTCAGCGATCACCAACTGAACGTGCTGCAAGGGTTGATGCCGGTCGAGCTGTACAGCTGCATCGACTCCTGCAGCTGCTCGAAATGTTTGGCAGCAATGCCCTGAAGAGTCGTATACGCTGCGTCCTTCTCGGTGATGGTGCGGAGGAGAGTCGCGATCTCAACGTCTCGATCCAAGACTTGCTGATGGTGGAGCCGAGTCTGACTCAACGCATCCTCAACGTTGCCGTGCTCAGCTTCGACAACCCGAGCGAGTTTTGCTTCACTCAGAGCTACGGCTTTCCGCAGTGAGGCGAGGTGATTAACAAACTGCGTGGCAGCAGCCTCCAGTCGAGACACCTGCAGCTGTGCCGATGATAGTTGAGTCGACAAGTCACCGTTGTCAAGAGCGAGGGTGTCGATTCTCGACTCTGGCAGCCTGAAGGTCAGCTCCGAGGTCCCCGATGACCTGGGAGTAATCAAGAGCAGCGTAGTGACCGCTCAAGATTTCCAGTAGCTCCTCAGCTGTAGAAGCGTGCAGGACCGCTCGCCGTTGTGCAGGATCAGAAGGCTCCACGGGGCGAGTGAACCCGTAGGCCATGAGTCTCGCCAAGAAGGTCAATTCTTCCCGGCGCTCGTACCCTTACTGGGTGACCAGTGTCGTGAGAGGGTCAAGCCTCACTGGGTCAGCCGATCTCAACGGATTGTTGGCGCCCGAAGTGGTGTCGTCTGGCAAGATCGATGGACCAGGAAGGCGCGTGTGAGAAGACTCCGCCGACTCCGCGTCAGACCCATGGGAAGTTGTCAAGTCGATCAACCCAGCATTGTGCCGGTCGCTGACCCCACGAGTACCAGCGGGCCGAGGAATCGACTCAGCGCACGCGTCTTCACCTCGAGGAGGAGTCGGTGGAGAAGGATGGCGCCGTGAGTTGTGCTGGAGACGAGGAGCGTAAGGAGCTGCCAGGTGAGCAACAGTAGAGCCGGCGGACGTACCGAAGAAGGCGGTGAAGGACCGCGAGACTTCATTAGCCGAGTATGGAAAAACGGTGGCATAACCTAATGAAGGATTAAGACACTCACCAGCTCGGCTCGTATCATAACCGGGGCAGTTGTGGTGTAGGGATTTCCAGATTCGGCATTCGTCAACCTACTTTAGACCAAGAATCGGCTCGGTCTGATATTCCAGAGCTAAGGTACCAAGCGTCACGGTAAGTACTCAGCGATCTGTCCAGATGATGTTATCCGGATGGCCGCTGAGCTCAAAGGTCGCCTGAACCCAGCGGAAGGGTCGGTAGATGTTGACACGACTACATTTCACTAGATATTTGTAAAGGAAGCATATGATTAAATAGGGGGAGCCGAAGAGGCTCCCAGAAAATAACAGAGCAGAATTTTCCTAGTCCAAGACACGTGTACACTCTTCGGTAAGTCCCTGCATAAGGCTGACTTATGCCTGCCGTTGATACTCGAGAGGCATATCTTGTAGAGTATTGACTGTTAGCGTCAAGCGATTAGGTCAGTCCGGGTAAGACAAAAGTCTCGCTACGCGCGAAAGAAAGCCTCGCGAGCTTAGCGGACCGGTACACCGGATAGACCGGGTGCCGTGACACTTCTAGCTGAGCAGCCTCTGCGCTCGGTGACCTATATAAGCGCTCGCGCTCCGCCGTCCTTCTTTGGTGGAGGGCACAGGGTTTTGTGAACGAGCTCTGCCGAGCCAAAATCGGCGGAGCCTCGGAAGTGCTCTGACTTGGTTAGTCAGAACTTAGTGGAAACGAGCCACTCGTCTGTCCCGGCTGGGCCGAACCGCGGAGGACCACCCTCGGTGCAGGCCATACAAGCGCCGACTTAACTTGGCGAGAGGCTGTGGTTTGTGTAAGGAATCCACATCTGACGGTATTTGTGTGCTCTACTACTCCACCAAGAAGTACCACAAGAAGCACCAACACCACAAGCATCGACAGTCAGTGCCAACACCCGCCGTGGCTCCGGCTCAATCTCCGTTGAATGCTTCTTCGCCGAGTGTGGCCCTTGTCACATCTGCTCCGTCTCGGTCGAGTTCGACTGTGTCGCGTATCCCACGACTAGCTCCAGCTACTCCACTGGTGCTAGGCGTGGTTAGCCAGCTGTGGCGTTGGTATGAGTATACGTCGGAAGGACGCTCACCGCTTGCTGTGGCCCAGGACTGCCACGACGGCTGGATCCGTGACATGGAGGAACGAGAGCAAGCCGACTGTCTCAACGAGGGATTCTAGCGAGCGGATGGAGGTTCTGTGAAGACACCTCGACAAAAAATACACACGCTGAATGGGATACAGGCTGAACGACGCGCTTTGCGAGCTAAGATGAGGGATTCGGAGAAGGAAGGCTTTGATAGACGAGCTCGACGAGGGCGTCGAGATTCAGTCGGGGAGGATGTCCCAAGTGAGAACGGTGGCAACCGTCTTTGGCACTGTTCCCATTCCCCCTCTGGAGTGACCTGCGACGAGCCACTTGAAGTCGCACGGCAAGAGGATGAGCGGCCATCGGGTCACTCGAAACAGCTCGTCGGATTTCGTTGCCCGGATTGGTGCCTCACCCCGTCGCATCGAAGTGAAGTGTGGCGAGGGAGCAACACTGCCAGTTGAGTACGCCGTCAAAGGTGCATCTAAGGCCAAGGTACTACCTGTCGTCACAGCGATAGACAAGGTCCCTAAGACGGACGACATGGACTACGGCGATACCGCAACGTATGCGAAGGACAGTGAAGCGAAGGGAGGGACGTCACCGGCAACAGTGTACCCAAGGACGTGCTGACGTGCGATTCGACTGAGTAGGGATACGGTACGGGTGACATTGTGGGCGAGGTGAGTTTGGTCAGTCGTGAATTTTATCTGGAAACCCCGAGTTGACTTAATACATTTGGGTTTATATTACTTAAATTGCTACTTGTGTCGACTTGGATTACTTCTTTTTGCTTCGCACGTTTAGAGCTTGCTACCGCTGATCAGCGCAAGCGTCCCGTTCCAGGGCTCGCGACACATAGCTTTGGTCACTTCGTAGATAAGGAGTAGCGACCAGCAGAGGCGATGACATGAGGTTTGTCTGATAAGTTGAATAGGTTTATCTGATAAGTTGTGACTCATCGCTGCAATTTTCGATTATGTGTAGGGTATTGATGGTGACACGTCATGGTGTCACTGAAACGAGGTTCAGGGGGTGGCTACTCGTTAAAGCTTGCCCCGCATTGAGCTACCGTCCGTACTTCGCTGCTAAAGCTCCTCGTAGCCCGTGATGAATCTATTCCGCCTGGTGGGCGATATGGCACACCTGGCTAGCTTCTTGGTGCTGCTACTTAAGCTGCTGGCCTCGCGCTCCGCGAATGGTGCGTCTGCCCACAAGAGTAGTTTGTCTGATTCACTCCCTCAAACTTCATTCACTTCTGCTTTAGGCATTTCACTTAAGTCGCAAGAACTTTTCTTCTTGGTGTTCGTAACTCGCTATGTGGATCTTTTCTTCCACTTTGTGAGTTTGTACAACACGCTCATGAAGCTGCTCTTCCTGCTCTTCTCGGGTGCCATCGTCTACGTTATTCGCTTCAAGGAACCCTTCCGCAGCACGTACGACAAGTCACATGACGCCTTTTTGCACATCAAGTTCGCTGTCTTGCCCTGTGCGCTATTGGCTTTGGTCTTCAATGAGCAGTTCGAAGTTATGGAGATCCTATGGACCTTTTCCATCTACCTCGAGGCGGTCGCCATCATTCCGCAACTCATTCTTCTCCAACGCCATGCAGAAGTGGAAAACCTTACCAGCAACTACGTCGTGCTACTTGGAGCCTACCGCGGCTGCTACGTGCTTAACTGGATCTATCGAGCCGCCACCGAGTCGTCCTACCACTTTATCTGGCTCATGTTCATCGCCGGCATGGTGCAGACGGCGCTTTATGTCGACTTTTTCTACTACTACGCTATCAGGTACAGCTGGCTAATGCGCACCTTGAATAATACGGCTCTCAACTAACGTTTCTACTTTTTTGCTCTCGATTCAGCAAATACCACGGCAAGAAGATGACGTTGCCTTCTTAAATACCCTTTGCTTGCAGTGGTATGAAGGAGAAGAAGGTGACTTCAAGATGAGATGAGACCGCGCACTCGTGAGTAAAACCCATGCAGAATCTAGTTTCTTTTCCTGTGTTGGCGTTGCCCGTGGGGTGAGTGGTGAGAGATCACTAGCAAGAATACCAAGGCAACAACGAAAGAGAACGCGTTGCTTTTTTGAGTGTATCGCTTTTCTGCGTGTATTTTTTAGTAGTCTTTGCGATTCGACTGTTTTGCAACATGAACAAAGCTACAGAGTCGGCACCCTTTTACCCTTCGAGGAAGCTGAAGTCGCAGTGCTTTGAGACATGATCTGCTGCCAGGTCTATCCGCTCTACGTCCTCACGTCGGATTTTGGCCGTGAACTGAGCGATCCGAGCCGTGATCATGTAGCTATCAGCTTTGTCGGGCGAGACGTAGATGCACGGGATGTTATCTGCGTCAAGACGCTGGGCGAGTCCAGCACTAGGCAGGTTCCACCCGGTTAAAATGAGACCAGACTTGAGGTTCGTGCCTTGCGAAGTAGATGCCTCCTGATTGCCAATGATGGCGTCGATCACATCCTTACGGCCACTGTGCTGTCGATATAAAAAAAATATTAGTCAGTTATATTAGCCGCTGAAGAAGACAGTCTGTGCTATCTTACTGTAATAACAAGTTGGTTCGGGATAGCCTTAAAGCGATTCGAGCCGTCCACAGGGGCCAATGCTAGTCGCGTACTACTGAAATAACGCAGACTAGCATCCTTACCAGAGATGAGATCGGACTTCAACAATTTGGCGTAGTCGGCCATCGTCGGGCAGGAAAGGTCCTTCAGGTCGGGGATGCAACCTACAAGCGGGACATCCCAGCGCTTCAGTGCTCGTGAGTAGTAGTCCTGGCACCAAGAGATTCGCGTAAGCTTCCAGCGTCTACCGATGCAATTCTTACGCCCTCTTTTGGATTCTCGTTGTACCTGAATCATGTCCATCTTTTTCGGATTGACCTTGTTTAGGACCACGCCCCGTAGCCTGACGTTATTCTGCTTCAGCATTTCCCGGTTCATCGCCAGTTGGTCAAAAGATGAGCCGAGTCCCCCCAGCGCCACACAAACTGCATCAATTTTGAGCTCCGCTGCAACAGTAATCATAAAAACGTCAGTGCAATATCCTACCAAGCAACAAACAATCTCATATATTACCTGCAACTTGTGCATTATTGAGCTCGCAGATAGAGCCCACACCTGTGTGTCCTGTTCCTTCGCATATGAGGAAGTCGCTCTGGTCATACAAGTTTCTGTGCGCAACTCGAATGGAGTCCATAAGCTGCTGCGACGTGACTTTCCCGTCGATAAAGTCGCGCGTGAAGCCATCGGGGAAGATGACGGGCGACATATCTTTGTAGTTCTGTACGAGTCCGAAGTGCTCTTTGAATAGATATGCGTCCTGCGGGGATCATACTACGATAGTTAGCAAAATTTTCCTTCCACAAAAACTCTGATAACACTCATTGCACCTTGTCTACGCGCAGATTGCCGCCCACCGGCACGTGCTGCTGCCCCACTGGCTTGCAATAAGCCACGAGCTTGTCTGCGCCCTGGAATTTGGCTTGGAGAGTCTTCACGAGCCCGAGACTGAGCGTCGTCTTGCCCACATGCTGACCGGTCGATAGGATGAGTAGGTGCTTGGTCATGGCTACGACGTGGAGTAGCTGGAAGGGGGGCTGCGGTGGCTCCGGCGTTTCAAGTGATGATGCCTGCAGCTATCTCGACCAATCAGATGGCAATTTCAAATCTCGACCAATTGGATGGCTACATTTTGGCGCTCAGACGAAAAAGAAAGCTGCAGTTGGAATGGAGCTGCTACGATGTCTGGTGTGCTCGATGGACATGACGCCGTGGAGTCTGGCGGACCGCGAGGCTCATTTAAATGCGTGTCTGGACGCGGCTTCGACAGTACAGCGCTTTGACTGCCCCACATGCAGCCAGGATCTCTCGCATTGTGATGAACGCCGACGGACAGAGCACGCGAATCGCTGTCTCGACAGGGCGGAGGTGTCGGTCGGCAACGCTCAGGGAAACGGACAGGGTGAAGCTGGAAAGGCTGGAGTGGATGATGCTGATAGAGGAGAAGAGGAGGACGAGACGGGGCTACTGCAAACCCAAGCGGCGGAGCTAACCCAAGCGCAACTTGATGTTGCGACTGCAGACTATGACAGCGAGAGCGAGTGCGCCTACGTGTGCAAAATCTGCGGCTTCGACATGTCGGAGATTGATCTGATGCGTCGCATCCGTCACGTGAAGCTCTGTGGTCAGAAATTTGGCGTGCGACCTGAAGACATGGGGGAGGTAGACCAAGCTGAGACTATCGGACGGAGGCTGGAAAAGAAGGGTGAGGCGCCAGATGCATTTGCTATTATGATGAAATCGTCAACAAGAAAAGAGGAAGCTTCAGCTGCTGCTATGGGTGTGTACTAGGAGGCGTTATCTGTGATTTGATTGTCTGATGGGATCTTGTCTTGTTCCTGTAGGTGCAGAGAGGTCGAATGTGTTTGACCTGTTGATGCGGAGTTCCAAGACGGCGGCGGTTCTCAATGCTAGGAAACGCCCCGTGCCTTTTAAATTTACTCGCAAGGCAATCCAACGACGTCGGCTTTTGTACCCTGACTTCAAGTGCATTCAGGGAACAGACCCGCCCTTCATAGTGGATGGCTTCCAGTATGCTTGCAAGGAGAATTCAAGCATTTACTTTCTGACTCACTTTCACTCCGATCACTATGGTGGTCTCACCAAGGTCAGTGCTCGCGTATAAAAACGATTGCTTGTAGCTAACTTATCTTTCCAGAACTTCGACTGCGGTATCATTTATTGCAACGAAATTACAGCAAGGCTCGTCGTGCAAGAGCTAGGTGTCCAGAGCAAGTATATCCATGCAGTAGGGATGAACACACCTGTGTTTGTCGCTGGTGTGCAAGTGACTTTCATGGACGCTAATCATTGTCCTGGCTCGGCCATTATTCTGTTCCGCCTGAAAGACGGCAAGACATTTCTGCACACTGGCGATTTCCGGTTCAACCGGAAAATGCTGGAATATCACGCGCTTCAGTCTCATATTCCGACTGGAAGTGAAACGATCGATCACAACGGCAAAATTGTGGGTCTCAATCGTCTGGATGGCGTGTACCTTGATACCACGTACTGCAATCCTAAGTACACATTTCCAACCCAGCAAGTTGCTATTGACCATGCTCTCGAACTCATAGACAAACACTTTAAGCAGGACAAAGTGCTCTATCTCTTTGGGTCGTACACGATCGGCAAAGAGCGGTTGTTTATGGAGATCGCACGAAAGTTCCAGAAGAAAGTGTGCGTGTCGAAAACGAAGCTAAAAATCATCGAAACGTTTGGCTGGCACTCACAAGAGATGAAGCTACTGACGACGGTGCCCACAGCAACAAAGTACGGTGTTTCTTTTGCCCTGAAAGCTGTTCTTGTGCTCGGCCGTGCTAACTTATATCTGTTTTAACGGTGTCGATTGATGGCAGCTTGCATGTTGTTCGAATGCAGGACCTTCAAATGGATAATCTAATCGTGCTGCTTGCAAAAAATCGATTACGTTTCCACCGGATCGTGGCATTTCGTCCCACGGGATGGACGTTCAGCGGCAAGAATCCGCGATCAATTTCTACGTGTTGCACAGACCCTTCCGGCAAAATATACGTCTACGGCATCCCGTACAGCGAACACTCGAGTTTTGCAGAGCTCTGTGACTTTGTTCAAGTAGTAAATCCCGTTTCTATCATCCCGACGGTATTATCGACTCTGCGATTGCTTATACCTATCACGCGACCTAACTTGATTTTGCATTCCTTCAGGTAAACTGCATCAACAAGCGCAAGGCTACAAACCAAGTCAACGCATTACGCCAGGCTGCGTTCCACAACATATCGGTACTTTTTAAGCAGCAGCAAAAGCAGATCAAACGGCAGCTAAAAGAGCTGAAAGAAGAACAGAAACATGATCAAGTCGACGCGGCGCGAGGAATTGTCGGTACAGCACATGACGGCAATGGTGGTGATTCAAATGAGCACCCCAGTCGCCACCAAGTACAAACGCGGACGGGTGGTTGCCACCACCATACGTGATCCAGTGCAAAATATACATGTCTCTACTATTTTTCGACTGCTTCGCCGTGTTTTACGGTGGGCAAATGTGAATTTATACAATTGGTCGTCACGGCAGCTCCGCCACCGGCAACTTACCGCCGTTTGTTTGATTATCACGGCCATAGAGGTTGCTATCATTGGTACCGACCGTCCCCGTTCCCCATCGCGTCCATCTATGCCTTACTTCTGAATTAGCAGCTCCGCAACCGTCGCATTCCAACACAAGAGGCGGCCACAGCGATGGCTTCTCGAGATCGCGCAGCAGACAGCCAAGTTATCACCTTCGACTTTAATGAAAGCGGCAGGGCAGCTATTTCGAGCGCATCATCTTCCCGTCCCAATACTTCAGGAGGAAGATTCAAGAAATCCAAGCTCAGCGAATTCCGTCAGTGTCTGGAGAAAGAGGAGCTGCCTTTGCTGATCGTTACGTGTCGTGGAGTGCGTCGTGTAACGTGGACAGCCAACTTGGAGCAGCTCGACTTCGCTCACCTTCTCCCAATCTGCCTTAGTGGCTTGCAAGAGACGCTGGAGCCGTATCCGTCGTTTGCGTTCGATGCTGCAATGGGATTATTGGAGAGCGGTCGACGTGGCACCCGCGTGTTAAAGGCATTGCCACAGGTGGTCCAGCAGCTCAAGAGCGCCCTGAACACACGCGAGAAAGCTGTGGCGCACCGTGTTCTGCTGGTTTTGCAGCAGTTGGCGGTGTGTGAGGATGTCGGATCTGAACTGGCGGATTACTATCGATCGCTTCTACCGTTGTGCAACATTTTGCAAGATAAACATCTCGGCACTGGTGATAGCGCCACCAAGGAGCTCGTGACTGAAGCACTGGAGACGCTAGAGGCATACGGCAGGGACGACGCCCACTTGATGATCCAGCAGTACGTTCCTGCTTTCCAGAGCTGCTGCGGTGCGTAAAAGATATTCAACACCTCGTAGGAATAGCAAGACCGGGCCTTAGCTTTTATTTTTCTATACTTCGAAGTAGACAAGGATCTAATCCCTGGTCAAGCCGTTAGCACTGAATACCGTTCAGGGGTCTCGTCTAAATGCGCGATCGCGGGTGACGGTAGTTGCGCATTTCCTTAGGCAGAGACGTTGAGACGAGGTCCTCAAGGCTGTGGATGCCGTACTTGTTCGGCGCACCTGTACGCCACAGCTCACGAGCGTTCAGTTGGCCGTCGGAGTTGAGAAATTCCACGCCCATGTGCTGCTGGTGCCAGCGGATCATAAAGTCGATTCGGGGCGTGGGGAAGTTGCCCAGCATCTCCGCCATGTTTTTCAGAATGCACAGACCGTAAGGGATATCTTCCCAGAACAGACGCGAGTTGACTGCAGGGTGAAATTGACCCTTCGACACCTCCGTTAGCGGCGTCGCGCACCCAGCGTAGCCCAGGTTCGTGCGGAAGATCTGCAGGAGCGAAGAGCGATCTGCCACGTCCTGGCCGTAGTGCTTCACCACACGGTCTCCCATGGGCAGCACATCAGACAGGTCTAATGCCGGGAAGCGCTGCAAAAGAGCGTACTTGATCTGCTGCAACTCATTGTCCAGCATCGTCAGCTGCTCCGCCGAGAACTCATCGAAGTCGGCGTCTGTACATCATTTACTCACATGATGTCAATTGTTACACGAGGGCAACTCTACGTATCAAGTAGCAAAGCGTACATAGTGTCAGACCCTCGCGCTTCTTAAGCTCCTCATGGGTGTAGGTCTTTTTGCCGTCCCAGTCCCGAAATATTGCATAGTAACGAGCCGGGTGGATGATCTGATTGGACGGAGTGAGCGTCAGGTTCAGGAAGTTGGCGACCGTCTTGCACGGGATATCAAAGAGCGTCTGGATAAGTGTCGCCGCTTCATCCTTCCGTTCCACAGGGTAACAGGCCACATACAAGCACTGCTTAGGGCCAATGATGCGGCACTTGTGGCTACACATAACCGTTTAGTCAGCACAACAGCAACACACTGGACGAGCTAATAGCATCCCACCCGTATTTCGTTGCCTTACAGATCCACGGGATGTTCTGTAGACCAAAGAGCTGCGTAGTAACATCACAGAATCAGGTAAACCCTCGTGGCCTTGCATGTAAAGCGACCAAAATGTGTACCAAGTCCACGTTGGCAAACTTCTCCTCCCCGAGCGCCTTCTTTGCGGCCCAATCGAAGCCTCCCTGAGCGAATAAAGCGCCCAGCTTGACATCCTTCTTGAGGTAGGGCGCCACGTGCTCCAGGATAGTCGGGTGCGCATTGGCAGGCGCAGCTACGATGACTACATCGGACTGCGGGATGACGTGTTTAGCGTGTTTGGACACCAGACTCAGACGGCCCATAATGACACCCTTGCACTCCCAACTACTGCCGGCCGTACTCAACTCTAGCGTCTGCGCCCAGCGCTCAGGCTGGCGTGTCAGTACTTGCACACGCAGACCCTTAGACGACAGATAGGCGGCTGCCGCATGCGCGCCATTGCCGCCGCCGCAGATGGTGACGACGCCCACAGACGCAGCGGCGGAAGGAACGCGCTGCTGCAGCTCAGTGCGCGCGGTGGCTACAGAGAGAGTCATAACGAGAGGATGGGACGAGTCTGCTTGGACGCGAAGATCAGCCAATGACGTTTGTGCTATGCAGCCGACAACCCTCTGTTTTTAGATTGATCAAGATAACGAGGGTGTAACACCCGTTCAAGCCGATAATTGGTCTGCAAGGACATTTTGCTGACTACTGGAGCAGCACGGAGGCCTGTTGGTGCGTCTCGGCCGTCACGCGAATGGCGAACAGTTCGTTGAGCTCGTCCTTGCTGAAGGCGAAGGCCACGGCCTTGTCGATCTGCTCGATGGCACGTGAGTATTCCTGCATGGCCATGTACACTTGGGCTAGGTGGCAGTACGCGAACTTGGAGCGAGGACACATCTCCACTGCCTTTTCGAACAACGCAAGCGCCTGGTGGCCATACTCCGTACCCTTCTGCACCAACAGGTTGCCCTGGTTGATGTAGGCCATCGGATATGATGGGTCCAGTTCAATCGCCTCCTCGAACATTTCCTCCACGGTCTTCAAATCAACGGTGCTACCCGGGGCCTGGAGCATCTGCATGTAAGTCTCGCCAAGATAATTGTAGATCTCAGGTACATCGGGCGTAATGCGAGCTGCCGTCGTCAGGTACTCTACAGCACCCTGGAAGTTGCCGGTCCGTGCGTGGGTAACACCCAATTGGATATAGGCCATGGCAAAGTCGGGAGCAATGCTGATGCATTTCTCCAGGTCATTTAATGCCGCCCCCATGGACGATTCGTTGCTCGTTCCATCGAGTGACACGTCGATCGAGTGGAGCTGGCCGCGGTGGAAGTATGCAGTGGAGCACTCCGACTTTTCAGCCAAAGCCTTGTCGAACCACTCAAGCGCCTTTTTCAAGTCCTTCTGGTCAAAGCATAGTCCGCCCATGCGGATCTTTGCAAAAATAGAGCGAGGCTTGGCATTAAGGGACTTCTCAAATGACTTACGAGCGAGCTCAAACTCTCCACGCAAGTGGTGGTATGTTCCATTCTCAATTTGAGCAGTGTAGTACGCCTCGTCCTCGGGCTCCACGAGTTTACACGCGGCGTCCAGGTCTTTAGCAGCCATGTCATAGTCCTTCTCCTTCTTCAACGCTAGCCCACGCTTTGTCAGCAACCATCCGCGTTGCTGCCGCGTGTCATCTCCGGCCTCGAGGGCATGTAGCTCGGTCGTGTATTCCTCCGATGATTTCTCCGCAACGACGTCATTTTCGTCGTCACTCGGATGGAAGGACGAGTAGTACGATGTGACGAAGAACTGGTCAGGAAGGTAGCGGGTGGGGTTCTGCTTGTTCTGCTGGGCGTCCTCGATCTCCTTGGCGGTGATGTCGCTGTGGATACGACTGATCTCCTGAGCCAAGTTCTCGTCCACCTGCTCCTGTTTCTCTTCGGAGATTACTAGTAGACATACGTAGTCCACCAGTGAGCCGCGAAGGTCTCCTGCGTTGGCTCTAGCTTTGGCGCGACGTAGGTAAGACTTGGGGTGCCGCTTGTCCAGCTTCAGGGCTTTAGTACAGTCGGCTACTACGTTTTCATAGTCCTCTAGTTTCTCGTAAGCCGCAGCACGGTTTGAGTACATGACCTTAAGGTTGCGGGCGTCCAGCGGCTGTTGCTGCTCGCACTTGGAGATGGCGACAGAGTAAAGCTCCACCGCCCCATCGTAGTCGCCGGCCTTGTATTTCTTGGTAGCCAATGTGGCCTCCTGCTCCCCGATGTTGGCGGCGGGCGTGGGCTTGGTATCAGCATTCTGGGGGGGCAAGACCGCAGGGATTTTCTGCTGCTTTAGTTTTTGTTGTGTCGGCGGTTGTGCCTCGGGAGTTGAGACCACCACCTCCGGTTGCTTCGCAATCTCGAACTGCTGCTGGCGCTTGTGGTACAGGCTAAAGGCCACAAAGGCGCTTATCGTGGCTAACGACGCCAGCACCGCGACCTGGAGAATAGCGTGCTGCTCCATCGACGATCTAATTATTTTTTAAATTAAACTAGCTGTCAACGAGTCAGAACTACTGTGGGCCTAATATCTGTCAAAGGTGCTGTGAAATCAAAGCTACTGTAACATATGATGGTATTGGAATTGCAACGTTTAATCCTTGTGAGCTTTGAAGATTGTTACTTGTAAAATATAATACTTACGAAAAAGGCAAAGTATCATCTTCTCGTCGCGGTGATTTTATACCTGTAATTACGAGCAGTCTAGACCAATGGCTGGTGTTGGCTTGGCGCGCGACCGAGTCCAGTGATGAAAACTTGAATTGCGTCTTTCAGTATCAAAACAGTGCAGTGATCCATCGGTCGTGAGCAAGTTACCACATCTACTAGAAGCATGTCTGACGCCGCCGTGAACCCCAAGGCCTACCCGCTTGCAGATGCTAAGTTGACCGTGTCCATCCTGGACCTGGTGCAGCAGGCCACCAACTACAAGCAGATCAAGAAGGGCGCCAACGAGGCCACCAAGACGCTGAACCGCGGCATCTCTGAGTTCATTGTCATGGCAGCTGACACAGAGCCCCTGGAGATTCTGCTGCACCTCCCGCTGCTGTGCGAAGACAAGAATGTACCATACGTGTTCGTTCCCTCCAAGGTTGCTCTGGGCCGCGCTTGCGGTGTATCACGCCCCGTGATAGCCGCGTCGATCACGTCCAACGACGCCTCGCAACTGGGCCCGCAGATCCAGAGCATGCGCGAGCAGATTGAGCAACTCCTGATTTAAGCGCTCTCGACTGGTTGCCAGCAGATTCTGACGTTTGTTCGTGGTTGGAGTAGGCTTCGATGACCACTGTAAAGACCAGTGCAGACGTGTAGCCAAGTGCTCGGATAACTGGTGTAATGCCAATGCAAAATCGACGCATTTTGTAATGTTTTCTTTAAACGATTATAGTTTGTTTTGTTCAGCATATGCCATGTTGTACTACGTGTAGCTGTCTATGGCACACATAAGCACATATTCGCGAGTACTCTCGCCGAATTTGAGGACGTCCTTCTCTCTGAGCTCAATGTAGCGCGAATCCTCGATCTTGCTGCCGTTGAGAAACGTAGAGTTGGTGCTGTTCAGGTCCATGATGTACGGTCGTACCTCTTGCTCAAAGACGAGGCCGTTCTTCGTGTCCTTCTGGTACATCCTGTACTGCAATACTGCGTGCTGCTTTGAGCACGACGGGTGCTCTGTCAGGATGTCGGCGACAGCTCTATCTCGTCCGATGAGGAATGCACTCTTGCGATGCACATGAAGCGTCGCTGCAGCATCAGCCAGTCAATTAGTCCCCTCGCACTAACGACAATGCCAAAACAATGGACGCACCAATATTCTCGTCATCCTTGAACACATATATCCGATAACGCTTGGTTGGCTGACGGGCCTCTGGTGGCTCTGAGAACTTCATCACCACTCCGTTCTGCATGTTGCCCGTCATTTGGTCCTTGGCCAGCGCTCCCGTGAGCCCGAAGTTAGGCTTCTCCTCATCGACTTGTTCTTCTTCTTTCTTATCATCCTCTTTCTTACCCCACCTGCATGCAGCAGTAGAAATGAGCGGTTATCAATGAAAAGTCTGCCGATTTAATATCATTCTGATATCTCTGTGGCCAACGAACGCACTGGACCAAGTGGGAAAAGTCACGCGACTTTTTGTCCTCATTAATCCGGCCTCGAGCCGATGAGTGCACCCTCCTGCCCTCACATCCCTCACGTCGGGGGCGCCGTAGCGAGGACTTGGACCTGGACCGCGACAGAGATCGGGACCGCGACCTTTGTTGCCAACGGTCTCGACGCGGCGGCGAGCGAGATCGCGAGCGGCACCCGTGTCGCGGCATTTTGTTTTCTGGCGGTTTCAGACTTTACAGTTTTCAAGTCAATTAGGAACAGTTGTGTATTGTGAAATTGTTGGTACAGTACACTCACTTACAAATTTCCTGTTGTTTGAAACGGCCCAGATCGTACTTAAGTCGCCGTAAATCGTACTTGACACTCACTTCAACCACATGAAGAACCGCGCGCAGAACGCAATACATGTACAGTGTTTACAAATAGCAAAGATGTCAAAACTAAACTCTAGATAAATGCACTCTCGTTTGAGTACAGTGCACAGCCAACGATGTCCTTCTGCATACAGTCCTTGGTATAGTCCTTCGCCATTGCACACATGTGTACTCAGTGTAGCCGGTTGTAGTGCAGCCGCAAGCTGCACTGCCAGGCGCATGAGTGTCCTTGGGATGTGTCTTTGCAGACACTGGCAGTGGACGGTGGCTCGTAGATGGGGGCGCCGGACACTGGCAGACTGCATTGCACTGGCACTCGACACGCAGGTAAGTTTACAGCTCACACTCCCACTTGATCTCGGCGACGCACTTGGAAGTCGACGCGATCACACACGTGCATCCTTGTTGCCGCCATAGTCCTAGTAGTAGCGTAGTCAAAGCTCATAAGCAATAGCAGTCCACTCAATAACAGCACTCCCACTCGATCGCCCTCGTCTTTATCGATGTCGCTCAGGTACAGCCTCCACATCAACAGCAGTAGTCAACGCAGTAGCAGTAGTCGTAGTTGTAGCCATGTCATCGGAGTGCAAACTGTTACTTAAAACCAAAATAGATAAATATGTATACCGCGTCCTACCAATTCCGTGTTCCAAGAAATTCTGTACACAATTTTGCTAGCACGCCCCCCCCTCCCCGCCCCACGTCTTGACCGGCAACAATCTTGATCGCGCAGACTTAAGCTTGTAACGGGGTACGTACCCAAACTGTACCCTGGTTGCATGAAGTGTGACATGTCATACTTCGGGATACCTGGTAGGTCGTCAGAGGCCAACCATTGGCTGATGACATAGCATTACTAAAGGTGACTTACAGTTTTTTATCTTTAACTCATGCTTAGCCTACCTATAAATACATTCAGCTTACAACTTTCCTTAAACTCGTCACTTCGCTCCCTTCGACAAAAGGGACCTGTGAATTACTATTCACTAAGATTTTGTATACTCTCAAAAGGCGACTTCCTCAAGCGCAAGGTACCGTGTGACCCCGTCACACTTGGTAGCACTTGTAGTCAATCCACGCCAACGCGGGTAGACTACCTAAAAAATCTCTCTGAAGTTCGTCGCCATGGATAGAAACGACTTCTCCCATCTGAGCGACTCACAGCTCGAGTCGGTTCGGAAGATGGCTGGCAGCTTCGGGATGGAGGCCCTGCAGAGCCTGGTGGCGTCAACACCGGCCGAGCAGCTCGAACGTGTCGATGCGTTTGACGCCTACGACCGAGGGTTCATTGCAAATGGGCGGGAAAACCTGCAGGTGTGGTGAAGTGCTTTCTCAAAACAAAATAAAAGAATGGACCTAAGAAGGGCCACTATCCCGAATCAGTGACATTTTCAAGTGATTAGAGAGGATTTGGATCGCCAGGCAGGGATTCACGTTGCCTGAGGTGGATTGGCCATGATGAGCGGCATCCCGTATGAGCCGACGATGGATCTGGTATGGGTTACGTATGGGAAGGCAGGATCCACCAAGGAAAGACTCGGATCCACCCTCACCTGAGTTCACTTAGGGGGATATGGAATATACTATGTACGGGTGGATCGAGTGTGGATCCTAAGCGGGAATGATGGTAGGTGTCATCTGAAGGTGGATCTAGTATCAAGGACTAATGAGAAGGCAACATCCACCGCGATATGTCCCAGATCCCATACTTCCGAGTCTGGATCCAAAGGGGTGAGGATCCCGCACAGAGTGACCTGGATCCTAGATTCAGGGATGGTGGATGCAGTGGATCTCGAACTTTCGTGGGACGATGGGGTTCACAGACGGTCGCAAGACGATGTTGGAGGATTGGAGAGCTCAGATCCATGACGAGTGTACACTTGCAGTGAGGTGGATCAAAGTGACCTGGATCCGAATGAGTGTACCCATAATATGGCGACCATAATGATTACGCTATGGATCCGGTGGATCTGATGATAATACAGCTGAGATGATGGATCAAGGAGAGAAAGGACATGCAGCCGAGCCTGATAAGGGATTTAACAGGTAAAAGACATAGAAGGTAGAAATTCAGGCAGGTATAGGCTTAATTATCATTACAGATCTCAATTTGCACAGTATCACGCAAGTGCCTTCCTGCCCTCAAGAATCGGAACTACATTGGCCGTACGAGCTCGGTGAAGGTTAGGAATTGCGAAACTAGTGTTGGTACTGATAACTGGATAATACATTGGCCAGATTCTACAACCTAGTGAGCTTTCCTTTACACGTGCAGATCCGACAGGTTACCCAGATTTACTACTTGGCCGGCTACACCCTAGAGGCTCTCAACTCTCAAGATCCCGTCACAGGAGGCGGCAAGTACAACGCAAAGGCAACACAAAGGCAAGGGAATACACCCGCAAGGCAACCCTACGGCCAGATCCACGATCTAGGCCCTGGATCCACTTAAGCTCGAATATTCGCTTAGGATCCAGAACCAACCACGGACACAGAGTGAAGATTTTACCACTGCTGCTCCACCCCACCCCCACGTCCCGCCAAGACACCCAAGCTTCACCACTTGAACACTTCGGAAGTTACCGAGAGAGCAAGATCCAGCCCTACCGACGGGTACACAAGGTGAGGAAAGTTCAGCAGAACACGGATCATCGGGGGGCCCCCTCCGTTAGTCGGTGTCTGGGCGCTGTTGGTAAGCCGGATCCAGCAATCGCGCAGATTTTGCTGATCCCGCTACACCACACAGGCCCCGGCGGTGAAAGCTAGTCCGCCACACCCGAAGCCAATACGGCTGAAGATGAAGCCGTATGAAATGAAAGAAAGTGAGAGCTTTCACTTCTGAGTTCAAGAGATAAAGCTCGCGATGGACGCGGTTCTGGTCTTGGCCGACAAACTCCGCATTGCTGTTGCGCTCTCCAACCTTAGCGACCGTGCTAAGAGTTGGGCGTACACACGGGAGGCGACATCGCCTGGATGTTTCACATCCTGGGCTCAGGTGTACGAACAGCTTCGAGCCGCATCCCTCCCGGCGAACTACGAGTACCGGCAGCGCTCGCACTTCCCCTCATACAAGCAAGGGAGTCGCGAGCTGCTCGAGTACATCCAATAGATGCGGGAGCTCGCGGCACTCCTAGGGGGCAACCCACTCAGCGAACACATCAAGGTGACAGTGTTCATGGACGGCCTTCGAGTGGGACCGGCGCGCACTCAGCTGCTCCGGGGGCAGTCAAGCACCCTGGAAGAGGCGATTCAATTGGCTCTTAAAGAGGAATACAGCCATCGACAGGCGCATGCGCCGGCCTCAGCGTGACCAGGGAATTCTGTGTTGAATCCCGGCCGTACCATCCCCTCCGGACGAGTCCCATGGAGCTCGGGTCCGCGAACAGCGCGATATCCGCTGTTTCGGCTGCGGGAAGCTGGGTCACTTCAAGCGTGACTGCCTCGCGCAGAGACATCGCATGCGGACTTTTCCTAAGCCCGTCCACAAGGCTGGCTGGCGAAGGCCAGGATCCCGAAGTCAGAGGAGCGCCGGAGACCGGTAGGGGCGGGGCGACCTACTAAGGAGAAACTAGGTCTTCGTGAGAGGTACGCGGGTGGACGAGGACTTAGCCCCGGAGAGTTTTCGCACTCTCGAATCGGCAAGGGGCAGCGACGGGCTGCTTGTTGTACACGGATGTGTACGGGGATACGATCACCCATTTAGAAAAAAAATTGACGCTGGGGCGTCGAAAAACTTCGCACGCCGCCAGACGGCTGCTCGTAACAGCAATAAGTTGTCCGATGATTTGAGAGGAAGAAAAGGCAACGGGACAGTGTCAGTGCGACTAGCCGACGGGAAGGTCGTCACTGCCCCCAACATCCAAATGAATCTAACCGTCAAATTCGAAGCTCCGACAG